TTTTTAATTTTTTTTTTTTTTTTTTTTTTTTTGGTACCAGGGATTGAACTCAGGACCTTGCACTTTCGAGGCAGGCACGGTGCCACTAAATCCCCAGCCCAAATGTCTAAATTTTAAAACATGTGTTACAGTAAAAGACATATAGCTATTAACTCACTTCAGAACACTCCCCTCACTTGGAACACACTTAGCCCATCATTCTTGCCGCTTTCTGAAGCAGTTCTGTAGGTGCTTGTTTGTGAGTGTCTTTCAATTGTGGTGTCATGGCTACTTCAACGTCCTGAATTGATTCAACGGGTTTGCTCTTCATTATCATTTTTACTTGGGGTGAGATCCAGAAGTTGCATGGTGCCAGGTCCAGTGAATAGGTGACGAGCTGGGGATTTAGCTCAGTGGTTCCACCACCTGCCTCTCAAGTGCAAGGTCCCGAGTTTGATCCCCGGTGCAAAAAATAAAGAAATAAAGAAATAGGTGGATAAAGATACACTGTAGTAGTTTTAAGAACCTGCCCTTCTGTTGGATGCACTCCGTATATTTTTTAATCACATTTTATAGTGTTGAAAATCAGGGAGCTAAATGTTTTCATCTCTTGCTCTCAAATACTAATTTTTGGGGAAACCCTAACTAGTGGCTGTTGGCCTAGGTGTGGCCCCTAGAAGCCATCCCAGAAGTTGTCTTCTGCCCCCCCCTCCAGTGTCACCTTTTTCTAGCCAGAAGGATGTCACAGCTGGTTTCAAACCACCGTGTCCCCTCTTCCCACCTGGCTGCAGTGGGGTCACTAGAAAGTGGGGTGTGAGAACCTCTGAGACACGTCCTGGTCCCTCACTCTACTACAAGATGGTGCCAGGGATCTAGATTGGGATCAGATTATGATTTGGCCACTTGAGCAGTACCTTTCTAAAGGTCCCATGTTCTCACCCATCTTCCAGGCGAGGGAATCAGCAGTGATGTGACACCAGTCACAGAAGAGCATCTTGTCCATCTCTCCATCTCCCAATCACCTTCAGGTGCTGGGGACAGTGGGGAGCAGGACAGGCCAACTCCCTCCCAGACCCTCACCCACCCAAGGGAGCCATGACCTGGAACTGGCTGGCTCTGCAATTAGGGGACATTCGCAGGGCTCCTATGGGCCATCTGCAAGCCAGTGCTGACCCAGCAGGAACTGGGAAGTGTTACCACATATACAGCCATGTCAGCGCACCCTCGAATGCAACCCAGGGCCGCATGTTCTGCGTTCACCAGCCCAACATTGTGCAAGATGCAGATGTGTTTCCCCGCCTCAAGTGCTGTGTCCTCACTGCCCTGTGACCAGCCTGACCAGAGTGCCACCCCAGCTCCTCTCCTCCCCTCCTGCACCCCAGCCTCTGGCAGTCTGACTAGGTCAGGGGTGGGCCCAGGAAGCCAGAGGCCAGGAGGTGCGTCCAAGGGCAGCTCAAGGGCTTAGGGTGGGGACTTACTGAGTCACAGATTGAAAGAGAAAGTCGGCAGTGTTGGGAGACCGGGTGGACCTAAGGCCAGCAGATGGCATGTCCTGTGTGTGCCCACTCGGGGTGGCACCCTAGAGATCAGGCCTCACAGGCCATTCAGCAGCTCCGAGGAGATGCATGCTTCCTGGTCGCAGGTCGGGGCAGCCCCAGGGCCTTCCCTGGCATGGCATGGGCCTATGGTCTCACCTGTCTCTGGATGTTTTCAGTCTTCGCTGACAGAAACCAGATGCATCTATCTATTATCTATCTATATCACCTATGTATCTGTAGTACCGGGGATTGAACACGAAACTTTACATTGAGCTACATCACCTGTCTTCTTTCCTTCCTTCCTCTCTTCCTCCCCACCTTCTTTCTTCTGAGATAGTGTCTCACTAAGTTACTAAGTTGCCCAGGCTGGGTTTGAACTTGTGATCTTCCTGCCTCAGCCTTCCACGTCCCTGTAGGTATGCACCATGATGCCTGGCTAGAAATGAATCCTAATGTCCCTCCAGGTTCCTTGCCCTTTTGAGTCAAGTTATGCCTATCCACACCCTGGACCCAAATATCTGTCATCTTCACTCTGGGCTCTGTCACCTGCAATAGATGTGCATCATCTTTACTGTGGCATTGGGGCACCTTCTAGCAAAGCAGTAATCATGAGCCTCTCTTGTGGCTGGGCAGAGGCTTGACATTCTGAGCTGTGCCCTTGGGGGTGCCCAGAGTAGAGGCCCATATTACAGATGAGAAGACTGAGGTGCAGAGACTTGCAGGCACATTTCTTGATCCTACAGTTGAAGATGAAGGAGTGAAAGGGTGACTGGAGGCCTCCCCAAAAAGCCTGAGGGCATGGCTTTCCTTTGCCCCCACATGCAGTTACCTGGCAGCAGCTCGAGGAACCATAATAAGCACAGAGCTGGCTGTATGGTCCTGGGTGTGCTTCGCAAGCCTGAGGCCTGAGTGCAGCCCTTCCAGGGAATCTGACCCAGTGCCCCCCTCATCCATCTGCAGAGCCATTCTTGGTTAGGGCCTGCCGGGCACTCTCCAAGGCACATCATTCTACCTCTGGAAACCCCCTGTAGAAAACACAAATTCACGATGACTCTGCATGTTCACAAATATTGTTTCCCCAAAAAAGGCCAGCGGGGAGGAACCAGCAGATGGTGGTGATCAGAAGACAGACCCATCAGTCTCAGCAAGCTGGAGCCTTGCTCATCATACCTGTGCGTGTTCACGGGTGTATGTGCACACGCATGTGTGCAAACATGCATGCATGCGCTGTGTTGCATGAGCATGCTGCACTTGTGCATGTGTGGTGAGAAGAGGTATGCGGGCTGGAGGCCCATGGACATCTGAACGTGCACCCTGCAGCCCCTTCACTGCCCTCTGGTCTTGGCACTGGGCCCGAGCTCCTCATTTGCAGGACGGGGGTGGTGACTATGTGGAGTCACAGTTGAGGCTTGGGGAGAGCCTTGGGGTGCATCCATCAGAGGAGCAGCCTCTCATGTGTGAGGCAAGAGGGCCGGGGTCTGATGATAGAAGCCAGGATCCCAAGCCCTCTGATCCATTTGGTCTCCCAAACAGTCCACAAGTGACTTTCCAGGACAGGCCCTGGGGCAAGATGGGTAGGCACCTCTGGTTCCACATGGCCAACCCAGGCCCAAGGAGGCCACAAGGAGCCAGCACCCAGGACTTGGATGCACAATGACGTTTTTCATCTCAGAGATCTTCAAGGCTGGCAGACTGCCTTGTTCTCAGATTATGTCCCTGTTCACCTGGCCAGGGTGGCCCTTGTGGGTCATCACAGGATGTGTTTTTTTCCTGCCTCAGGCTGTGATCCTTGATGTGCTTCTGGTCCCTAGACCCCACAGCCCGTCCTTGGCAGTACTGACTCTTCATCCACTCTCCATGGGCCTCAAATCATAGGCCCTGGGACTTCCATTCCCAGCACAGAGCACCTGGCCTGGCTGTGCAGGAGCCAAGGGACTGGACGGTGACCCAAACAATCACAAGCAGGGAACAGGAACAGGGAGCTCAGACCTGAGCTAACATCCCACCTTCCCCATGACTGGCAGAATAATCCTGGACAGTGGCCCCTCCTCTGGGCCTTCATTTCCCCATTGGGAAAGTGAGGATTATGGTCCTAACCTGGGATTGTAGGAATTGAAGTTGACACATGTGAATACTTGGGGTAGCCAATGGCCCCAGACCCACAGCCTGGACTCACAGAGCTACCAGGCTGGTGACAGGAGCCCATCCTCACACCTTGTCTACAGGGTTACAGAGGGAGACTCTGTGATGGGGCCACCAAGGGCAGGGAGCAGCCAAGAAGGCTCTGAGGGGTGACAGGGAGGGGACAGAGGGGGGACGTCGGAGGCCGGGGGCTGTCGGTCTGAGTCAGAGGAGATGGTGTGGGAGAAACACCTGTGGAGAGGGGACAGAGTCAGAGCAGACACGTGGCTGAGGCGGTGCACATCCTACCCTGGGCCTGGGCCAAGGGCTGGCCTGGGAGAGAACAGCGGCACCTGGGGGTCCAGCCCTAGCTGGAGTGGCCCAGTCACTGCCCACCACAAGGGAGCAAGTCAGACGGAGAGAACTCAGCGTTTATTGTCATCAAGCACCTTGTAGGGTGAAGGTGATGTGCTTTGCAGAGAAATGATAAATAATGAAAAGGAAACATTGAGAAAAAGAAATGCCAGCCCCTTAGCGGGCAGCAGGGGGAATTCTTTGGTTGTACAGTGGGTCAGCCCTGTCATCCGGGTCTGTCACAGCCCCCCGAGGTCATCTGCTAGGAAGGCCAGGAGGTAGCGGCTGGCGTGCCTGTCGATGATGACTGGTGAGAAGCCGAGGACGCGCCGGGTCCCCGGCAGCACCCTGGGGTCTGGAAGACGAGAGTGGGGGTCACGCAGGGGAACTCTGATCTGCACTCGCAGGGTCCTAATGGGGCTGGAGCAGGTCGAGCCTGGCACTGTCACCCGCTCCCACTCAGACCCTGCAGGTTTCATCTTCTACAAGTGACCTGTGCAGCCTTCGGGGTGCAGGGCCCTACGAGTGCACACCTGGGCCCACGCTCAGAGGCCTTCCCAGCATGACACACTCAGGCATCGCAGGGCGTGTGGCCTCAGTGGCCTCCTTCCCATAGGGCCTGCAACACCATGGGAAGGAAGACCCCAGGACACAGGGCAGGTGACCTGATCCATGCGGCTCCAGGCCATAGGTGCGGCAAGGCTTTCTAACCCCCAGAGCACAGTCCTCTGATTCTGGGGCTGCTGGGCTGCACACTCGACTTCTCTATTTCTCTACTGCTGCACAGGTGGGGCACTGAGGTGTGGGGAGCCAAGGTGCCCTGGCTGCACACAGGGGCTGGGGCCCATCCGGTCAGCCCTGCCCGGGGCACCCACCTGGAGGGCAGCAGTAGAGCAGCAGGGCGAGGCCAGCGGCCAGGCCAAGGCCAGCCAGGAAGCTCATGGGTCCTGGGGAGGAATCGGCACAAGAATGAGGGCCAGGCCAACAGGCACGCAAGGGCCTGTCACCAAGAGAAAGCCACGAATGGAGCCCAACTTGGGACACGGAGAAGCCCCTGGGACAGAGACAGAGCCTGGGGGGGAGAGAGAGAGACAGAGGGAGAGGGAGGCGGTGGGGGCGTTACCCCTGTCACTCAGCCCGCGGCTCTCGCTGCCCCAGTCGAGCTGTGCACAATCTGAGTTCCCTGGAACAGAATCACAGGGCATGGTTAGTTGTAGGGTGGGCCTGAGAGTAGGGTAGTGGCCCCCAGGGGAACCCAAGGCCACTTCCACCTCCCGAGGCTGCTGGGCCCTGACAGCCTTACACGGCCACCGCAGGGCACTAAGAAGGCCAGGCCAGGCATGGTGAGGTCAGGCCCCTCGGGGAAGCCTGCAGTTGGGGGTCTTCTCCTTTAGTCCAGCACCCGTGACATCAAGGGCTATCATTCCTGTCGGCCACGAGACCCCAAATGTAGCACGAATATTCACTGCTGAAAGCCAACCACGGTCATCCTGGCGGCTATCTCACCAGGTGCAGCTGGGCAGCAAGCTTTCCTCGGACCTCCCCGAGGGGCCCTCCAGGTTACTCTACCCTCTGGACAGGCCCTGGGGACACCTAGGAGTCACGGCAGGTGCTCTACCTCCCGCAGAGCTGTTCTTTGGCCTCAGCTGTGTTCTGCAAGACTTGTGGAGCCCTCACACACGGGTGTGGGCCATCTACCTGCCCTCGAGTGTCCACACTGCATCCTGCCCCTCCTCCCAGGGCACCGAGCACAGAGGCCTCAGAATGGAGTCACCACCCAAGTCTTGCAGTGTCCGCGAAGGCAGCGGAAGCTCAGAAGACCCCGACCCTAGGGATCTGTGCATCTCCTGAGGCCTGGGGGATGCAGCCTGGATGACCTTCTAAGCCACAGTATACAAAATCGACCAGCCACCCATGCCCAAGGTTGCCCTACAGAAACTCCAGCATACGCAGTGGGCTGTGGCAAAAGGGGGCACGACCCCAGTGTGTTCTGTGAGTCCAGGTAACTCCAGTCTGGGACAGCCTCAGGAGCACCACGTGGTGGTGAAGACAGGGCTGCTGTCAGCAAGGAAATGAAGAGATCTTCACAGTGGTGAGGGTAAAGAAAAGGAAGGAGGACCCGCTGTATGGGAGGTGAAAATGGGCATGAGAACAAGGGACAGAAAGGAGAGAGACACACAGGTAAGACTTGCATGCCCTTCCTGGAGGCCATGGGATGTTCCTAGAGAGGGCCAGGAGACATCCAGAACAGGGGCCGAGGATCTCCTCACTGTCAGCAGTCAACCAGTGCCCCCAGCCCAGCTCTAGAATCAGTGGAGCGGACAGGGACTTACGCAGGGTGTGGCGGCTAGGCAGGTGGCCGTGCAGGGGCTGGGCGTGGATGTACAGGGCTCGGTAGAACTCCTGGCAGTGCCGCTCACCGCTCCGCTGCAGGTGGCTCAGGAGGTCACAGAGCCGCAAGCGCAGCGACGCCTTGGGGTTCCGGAACTGAGGGCAGGAGGAAGAACGGGCTAGGAGGAGGCTACAGGTCACGGTGGGGCACTGGGTGCTGGGCCCAGCTCCAGCATCCTCACCAGGGGCACCATATCCACTAGACAACGTCACCTGAAGCCCCGTACCCCCTTGTCCCCATCTAGCAGCCACAGAATGATGGCTACTCCTCGTTCCCTGTAGGGAGGGAGGTGGAAAACAGGCTGGAGAGGTCACTGAGAAAGCACAGGGTAGGGGACAGCACCCTAAGTGCAAGGACTCGGCATGGCTTCCTCTGTGACCTTAGTATGTCATTTCAACCTTCTGAGACTTTTCTTCGTCTGTAAAAGGGGAAATAAAAAACCCACAATGCAGGGTTTTATAGGAATTAATGAAGTGACGGCACAGTGATGACTTCTGTTGTTTTGCAATTTATAGGAAAGAGAGTCAGATATTTAAAAAATTAGTTGGGCAAGAGCTGGTTCTTTAACCTTTTTTTTTTTTTTTTTTTTTTTTTTTTTTTTTTTT